ATTATCATAGTTGTTGCATAAATAGAATTCCTTAATAACACTTACTGGGACTTCAACAGGAACTTCAGAAGGATATGTAGCTTCTCTCCCATACATGAAACGGAATGGTGTGTATTTGGTTGTGGTGTGGACCTCGGACCTCAAAGAAAACAGTGTAGCATCCAGATACACATCCCAGTCATTCTGTTGACTGTTGACTAATTTTCTCAGGGCTCTACATGTGGACATAAAAAAAACACAATAGTGACAGTGTCTTAAAAGCAAATGAAATGTTACATACAAATAAAACATACCTTTTTATGTTGTCATTTGTCTTTTCGTCTAGGCCATTTGTCTGAGGGTGATACGCTGCTGTGATACTTCTTTCTATTCTGCAAAGTCTTGAGTTGAGCTTCAAAGAAAAAAGAAAATTGTTTTTTTAAAAACAATCACACAAAACCTTTGGCCTGGCAGCTACTTGGCACACTGTGGCCAAGTATTTACCTAAAGAGGTATGGAAAAGTAAACTGAATGAAACTCTTGGAATAGTCCCATGGCTTCTTCTTTTGTTTTTATCACTCTCCTGTTTCCAAACGAGAGCACTCCGCCTATATTTAAAAAAATGTAAATTAATTATAACATGTATTTAACCAATAATTACATTTGGTTATTTATTTACATTACAATACTGACCCTTCAGCCTGAATTTTGCGGCATATCTCCTAAGGGTTTGCCTCTGGGACTTATCGTATTCCGATGGGTAGGACCCAGCAGACAGAAACATGAGCAGTTCCTCGTATTTGTTCTCCATAACTAAGGAGAAAATCGGACAATTTCAACATGGCTTCGGAATCCATACAGTAAATAAAACGACTACACGACGTTATCACGCAATTAACAAGTATGTGGTGCAGTAGTACTTTCTTCGACATAACAACGGAGCGTTTATTCAACATAACAACGGAGCGTGGTGTCCAGTAAATGCAGGAGGACTAAAATAAATTGAGAAGGTTTGCAGAAGTTGAAAAGCACAAAATAAACACTTGGAATATGACTTCGAGTGAGCAGCTTAAGGTAAACAATTATCATCTGTAATAAAGAAGTAAAACTTATAATACAAACCTTTTTTCGAAAGCAACGAGATCGGCACAAGATCGGGGTAGGATGAAATAATAGGCGTGTACTATTTACACCGGAAACATGGCCGTTTTGAATTGTGCGCATGCGCAGTAACAACAAGTAGGGCAGCTTGATGGGTAGGACATTTTGTCAGAACACCTGGCACGAGCCTGAGTTACGCGCTCAGCCAACGAGAGCCCGGATTTCCAATGTTTCTGTGTATTTTTATCTGTAATATCTTTACGCATGTTGTTAAACAGACTTCAGCGAACAGCGTTTACAAAGAGGTTAAATATGGAATTAAAAAAATATCCGTTTTTCAAGTATCTTCACAGCTCTGTGTTATTGTGCTGACATTATAACCAACCAGGCCTTACTTACAATCTTTTTACAGAACTATCGTAATATTTGTAACAGTTCTGCTGCTGTTGGCCAGCTTACTCTGACAAAAGACATGTTTGATGTTAATGAGATGTTTTTAACTGCATAAATAAAGGTTAAATTAAAGTCGCTGCCAAAAACTGATCGCGGCTTCTACCTTGTTACACGAATGTTGTTTGTGGCTCAAGATGACTTCGTGTCATCCATAAGGGAAGCATTTGACATGTTTCACATATTATAGCCCAACAACTTACTTATAGCAGTTTAAATACGAGCAATCACTTTTTGACACAACACCGGCACCGAGCCGGAGGGCGGCGGACAGAGTCTACGCACGTGTGATGGTTACCGTGGAGAAGCAGCCGTTAGTCTTTGTGCGCGTGGTAACACGTGGTTAACGGAAACTCATTCAGCATCAGCTGCACGCGCACAGACACGTCCGTTTGGTTTCGCGCCTTTATTTTATTTACTTTTATCGATCTGTTCATCGATAAAGTCCGGATCAGATGAATTTTCATCCTCATCGATACAGAGACGAGGAAGTAACTTCAAAATTTAACGCCAACATCTAGAAATGACGTCACGGTAACGGCGGCCGCGCTCGTGACGTCAGTTCATCTTGAATTTTCACGTTATTTCCCGACTGAGGGTCGTGAACAAAGCGGGGTCCCACTCCCACGCGGTTCCTCTGAGCGGTGAGGTAGAAACAAGTGTCCACGAACCCGGAAATAACCCGTGATTAGTTCACAGCGCACAGCCTGCGTGTTTATACTGTGTCACGGTAAAGGTGGCAAACTACAAACTACTGAGCAGCACATAAAGTCCACGTTAAGCAGAAACAGATGAAGCAGACCGACAGTGACTCTCAGTGCTACCGCTGTTCTGACCCTCCTATTTAAACTGCTGTAAATATGTCAGCTGTGTCCCTCATCATGATATCCGGTCTATGTGAGCCACAAACAACATTCCTGTCACAAAGTCGAAGCTGCAGTCAGCTTTTGGCAAAGAGACTTTCATATATCCTTTAAAATAAACTTGTTGGCATTAAAAATGTCTGTTTAAGAGTAATCTGTGCAGCCGACAGTGCAACAAATGTAACAGTAGGGTTGGTTATAATGTAGGTGCAATAACACAGTTATGAAGATACTTGAGAAACTATTCTTCAAATTTTATATGACGCCTGTGTAAATGCTGTTCACTGGAGTCTTTTTACCAACATAAGTGAAAACATTACACAGAAAACACAGAAACAGTTTTTGGCTCCATATCAGATTCAACTTTACCCAAGAAAACATGAAAACTAGCAGCTCAAAATAAAAACAGATAAGGAAGTCTTTGAAAAATATCATGTGCACAGAAAACGAGCCCACGCAGTCAGCTTTCTACACTCTGAAGAACAGCTGTCACTGCTGGATTCAACATCTGTTCTCTACAAGAGGAACACACACACACACACACACACACAGTCTCGGCTCCGTTCACAGCTGCAGTTTTGTCGCTGGCAGGAAACGTGAAAAAGGAAATCACCGACGGTTTAATGAGAAGTGTCGGTTCCTAAAGAGGCTTAAACAAAGAGAGAGAGCAGACTCAGGATCGTGCACAGGTCAGAGAGGTGTCAGTTTGTGTAGCAGTAACATGACACCCACTTTGCCTCAGACACCGCTCTGTGTGGTGGCACCACCTCACTGCTCCACCTGAAGCAGCTGTCTGAAGGTCTGGTTCACACATCCTGGTTCACAGAAACAGACGTTTAAAGCTTTAAAAGCACCGAGACGACGCTCTGCTGTTAGTTTGTCTCTACTTTTCTAACTGATCTGTGATCAGTGTGAGGATGTGGTGTGAGCGCTGCTCTATAAAGGTTAACAATCAACCACTGACGCTGAGCTCAGTCACAGTTTTCACTAAAGCGCCTCGTTTGACCTGCTCCGTCGCCATGGTAACTAATGCTTGACGATGAGAGTTTGGATTAAAATGAGCAGGAAGATTTCAAATTCAAACTTTATTTGTCACATACACAGTCATACACAGTACGATATGCAGTGAAATGCTTAGACAGCTGCTCGTGACCTAAAATAAAAGACTACGATAGGAGAGGAAATAAATATGAAAATTAAAATAAAGGGTCAATTTAACTAGGAAGGAATAAAATAAAATATAAAAATTAAAGTTAAAAATAAAATACCTGTACAACAAAATACACAATACACAATATAGAAATATATAAGAATATATGAAGAAATATAAGAAACAATAAGAGCAGCTGCACGAGTAATAAATGGTATGAAGAAACATAATGTGCAGGGTTGTGTAATCCACATGTGTAAGTGTCTTGTGCAGTGCAAATATGCTTAAAGTGATTTATTTAAGCGACTTGTGATAAAGTGATCCGATTAGATGACCACACAGTGTAGTTGTGCAG